TCTTTTCAGAACTCCTCAAGTGGAAAAGTTTGAGTTTCACCTGGTTTGATTTTTGCAAAAATTCTTCTTTAAAGAATCTTTGGCTTTCCAATTATTAACCGAAAAAATTATCAATGGATTAATCTATTTGCAAAATAATAGTTGCTGCCCTAATTTCAACCCTACTGTAGATGCATTACATTTTAGCTCATTTGAATAACAACTGAGCCTGCATTGTTAGATAGCTAAGGATAGTTTGGGATGAATATAATTAACTTTAAATATGTTTAAATATTTAGATTCTATTTCCTTCTCTGTAAAGTTCCTTGAGACAACGTGTTGGTAAATTCCCCTTTAGAGATAAACTAAGATAGATTAAAGAAAAATTAAATGTAAAATCATCCTTTTGCAAGTATTATTGTTTCATGATATTGTGTAATTGTGATTTTAAAAATCCCCAAAAAGCATTGAAAGATGCATGGGGAAAAAACATCATTATTAGATTTCAAAATGTTACAAATAAATGTAAAGAAACCTATGCAGAACTGCCACTTGGAGTCAGTAACCTGGTTGTGACCATCCTACAGGGCTTTGTCAAAGACATCCACGATGACTCTCTCACCATTGCCTTTGAGAACAAGTAAGTATGCTTTTCTTCTTCATGCAGCCAGGTTTGTCAAAAATTAGAAGAATCCAAACAATCGTGTATTTTTTATAGCTAACTTTGACCATCGGGTGTTGTGTTCTAGTTGGCAGCCAGAACGCCAGGTGCCCTTCAGTGATGTCAGATTACCACCACCTGCTGATGTCAAGAAGGAGATTGGAGAAGGCGAGGAGGTGGAGGTGAGGATGACAGAAGGGTGGATTTTTCTCTTATCCTCTGTTCGTTTTTTTCTGTCCTGTTCCTTTTTCTCTATATAACTGATTTAATGTAATGACAGATACTCTCCAGAGCCAATGAACAGGAGCCTTGTGGATGGTGGTTGGCCAAAGTTCGCATGATGAAGGGCGATGTGAGCTTTCTAAATCGGCAGTTCATTTTTCTATACTCGTTCAGTAGTATCAACAAAACTTATTCGTTCAACTTGATTTCTTTGCTCATGTTTTACAGTTTTATGTGATCGAGTATGCGGCTTGTGATGCAACTTACAATGAGATTGTAACGTTCGAGCGTTTGCGACCGGTCAACCCCAACAAGGCCGTTACCAAGAACTCCTTTCACAAGTGCACTGTCCCTGTCCCTCAGGATCTACAGGAAGCGTATGTGCCTCATCAAGGTTTTCCGTCGTAAAACGATTTTCTTCACAAATGGAAAATGACGTTGTTTTTTCCTGTATTACAGGTGCCAGAGTGAAAACGCACACAAAGATTTCAAGAAAGCAGTGGGAGCCTGTCGAATCTCCTACTGCCCAGAGACCAGTGAGCTGCTGATCGTGGTAACTATTGGCGGATCTTTTCTCATCATCTTTGGATTTCTAAAACAGCATCTATGCTGTGATACAGAATGATTGTGCAAGAATTGTTTTTCCTTTACGTACTTGTGTAAAAATTTCTGTTATTTCATTAATTGTCTTAAAGTCTACCAACGAATCTACAGTGAAGCGTGTGTCTTTGCTGAGTGACATGCACCTGCGCAGCCTCAGAACCAAGCTGCTGTTGATGTCCCGCAACCAGGAAGCCACAAAACACCTGGAGGTCAGTTGTTTAAACACAAATGTAAGTCAGTAAAAGCAGAACATTGTAAATGTGTAAAAGCGGTACTAGACAGATGCTTTATTAGATGTGCTGCTCTTAGATTGGTTCACTTTTATAAGAGTCAGTTAAATCTTACATAGACTTCTTCCATTTTGGAATGGATTTCAAAACTCAGCGATTGACATCCTCAATTATTTTGCCGTTGTTTTCTCGGGTCATTTAGACTTCCAGGCAGCTGGTATCATCCTTCCAGCAGGAGTTTATAGTGAGACCAGATCTGATGGGTCTGGCCATCGGCAGCCATGGCAGCAACATCCAGCAAGCACGGAAGCTCCCAGGTGTCACCGCCATTGAGTTGGATGAAGAGACTGGTACCTTCAGGATTTATGGCGAGGTACAGTGCTGTACCAGCCTTAAGATTAAAATGCTTGCATCCCTATAAACACAATCAAAATCTTAATATCTATACCTGGTGGATCATGAAATGGGGGATTTTGAGCACAGGGTTTAGTCAAATCAACAATACGTCGTATTCCAAAACCATAAAGATATAAAGTTTGTAAAGAATTAAAACACATTAACTATATTAAGATAGTTTGTGATATTCCTGTTTCACTCTCTAATAAATCAGAAGGGCTTTCAATTAGTTTAATAAACCGGTCTTCTATTTGACGATGCACTTCCTAAAGATCCTAAAGATTCCTAAAGAAATTTCTTTCCACGTGTTGGAAAAAAATGCTAATATGTCCCAATAATAGCAAATATGACACAAGTGTTAATTTCTAAAACTTTCGTGACATTGATATACTTCTTAATGTTGGCAGGACACTTTACTTGATCAATTTTGCTTAGTGGAAGTTTTTGGTCTCCTCTTTAAGATGTACATAAACTTTGATAATATCCTGTTCTTAATTTATATAATCAAATTTGTAGATGGAGCCCATGTTCCCAGAATAAATAGTTCCCACAAGAATGAAAAGAAACTTCTCTTGAGCTATGGCTTTGCCTGCACTCTGGGTCTCTGAGCAAGACCCTTACCCCACACTGTTCCCCGTGTGCCACAAAATGGCAGTCCACTGCTCCCCAAGGGAACGAGTTAAATGCAGAGAGTGAATTTCTCCAGTATGAGCTCAATAAAGTTCAACTTTTATATGATAAAAACCTCTTGTTGCTTTTTATTAACTTTGTATTTACATCGTTGAACTCGACAAACCATCGTTCTCTTACCTGTGATCAACAAAGTGGAAATATGCTTCCTTGGATTATCAAAATGGTGACACAGAGGGATGTGATGTTATGTAGGAGCTATCTAAAGCCATTTCTGTAAACTTCTTTCAGAATGCCTCGGGGTATCTTCCTAATTTGACAAGAAATCCAGAATGGTAGCATCCCCTCAATTAATGCCAGAGGTGTTCTGTAAGGTTCAGATCAAGGTTGTGTAATACCGAGTTAAGTTTGTCCTCCCCAAACTTTAGAAATATGCAGTCATGGGAGTCACTGGAAAGTACCAATGCAACTGATGTTAACCAATAGTTTAGGCATTGTAATATCGGTCTTTTTGTATTTTACATTTTCTTTTTTTTTTAGACGGAGGAAGCAGTAAAAAAGGCCAGAAACCTCTTGGAATTTGTGGAGGATTCAGTCCAGGTGCCGAGGAATCTTGTTGGTATGTAGTTGTTAAGAAAGTGTTATTGGTTACAACATCAAGCCAAGTATATAGAATCTTATCATCAAAAGACAATAATGTTCTTTTTTTTTTAGATGTGAGTAATTTTTGTGATAGGATCTGATATGTGATATATGCTGAGTATTGGATTACGTCAAATTTACAACATGGGTCATACTGCCGTGTGAGAGAATGCAAGCAGCACTACGTTAAAGCATGAGGTCCTTGCAAAGGATAGTAAGGGGAACTTAAATGCTGCTTCTATGATGTGTATGCTCTATTGAGGATCAGCTGCGGCTGGAACAGGGTCCTGAACATTTATAGAGACTCCACAGAGCCTCCTCAATTTACTTTTTTCAAGGTGTTCCACTAGGCACAGTGTCGAAACGCGGCTTTATTCCTTTGCCTGTTTTAATGATTAACCTCTGTAAAAATAAAGCTTATTAAAATTTGGGATTTATATATTTTATTCCTATAACCGTACTTATAATTCTCACACTAATAGGTTTAAAATCCTGAGATAAAGAATTTCTGTTGTGTGCTATTAGTTAGAGCATTTTTACACTACTACAATCTTTGTTCACCTAGCCATCTGTTCCTGCTCTGTGTCTCCAGGCAAAGTGATTGGTAAAAACGGAAAGGTGATCCAGGAGATTGTGGATAAATCTGGTGTGGTGAGGGTCAGAATAGAAGGAGACAACGACAACAAGCAAGCCAGACAAGAAGTAAGAATGCTACTCCCACCTCATTGCTTTTCCTTTAAGGAATACCCTCTTAAAGATAAAAAAAGTTGCATTCATATGAAGCATATCTTCCCAGTTGATGATTACGTTTTATACTAACATGCATGTCTGGGATTTGCGTTTTGTTGACACAGGGAATGGTCCCGTTTACCTTTGTCGGTACTAAGGAGAGCATCGGCAACGTTCAGGTGTTATTGGAGTACCACATCTCCTACTTGAATGTAAGACATTTGCTTGTTGATATCTTTAATGATGTCTTTCTGTTAGCAAAACTAGATTGAACCACTTTAAGTGTGATTATTTGTTTTCCCCATTGTCTTGAAGGCTCCAGCATGTACAACCCCTAACTCATGTTTCTTTGTTAGTAGCTTGAAAACTCTAACATAACTACTCTAGCAAACTAAGTTCAAGTTTATCCAGTTAACATGCTGATTAGCATTGAGCTCAAGCTGCACAGTATATGAAATGACAATCAGTCTGACTACAATATGAGTTTAGTCTTGCAGTATTAAAGAATGTAATGCAACAATTATTTAGCTTTTCTATTTCAGGCACACTTAAATGCTTTACATGTAGCCGATTTTTAAGATTATGGAAAATAAGAATGATGGGAAACAAAAATCAGTATAAAAACTATTAATCACAATCATCATCACTATAGGTTAAAAGAATATTATAGATTCATTGATATTTTAGTTGCATGTGCTCCTAGAAATCTGCGGTAATATAATAATGATTATATGTCATGTTATGGCATGTCATGTTAAGGCCAGAACACACTGAATCCGGTTTGGCGTCCAGAAGAGATCGTGGCGTTTAGACGTAATTGAAAGTCGATGGGGTTCATCACATCAACACGATTTTACGCAAGGGAGCTGAGTAGCTCTGACTGAGATACACCCCAGGTCTATTTTAGTCGGACTACACAGCAATTCAGTGGCAATTTCATGGGTCTGACAGGAAGAGAGACTAGGGCTGGGCGATATAGAAAAAAAGCTTATCGATAAAAAAAAA